CTTCCTAAGGCTTGCTACCATCGCGAGAACCTGATGGTCTTAGCGCACTTCGTACGCGACATCTTCCGTTCCCACTCTCATCGCATTATCTCGATCCTTTGCCTGGTATTTGCCGGAACAGCGAGCTGGTTCACTGCATTACCGCATCCCCTGTCGTCTTTGCTTTCGCTTCGTTTTGAACAGAAAGTGCGTGATACCGAGATTGATTGGTTGTAGTTTTTGTGTCTTTGCAGAATAGATGGTCTCCGACGTATGATGTGGCTGCAATCCTTACGTCGATCCAGTCGCTGCTCGATGAGCCCAATCCCAACAGTCCTGCAAATTCCCTTGCCGCGCAGCTTTACCAGGAAAACAGACGGGAATATGAGAAACGGGTGCAGCAGATCGTTGAACAGGTCCGCTCTTTGTGGAATTCCGTTTAATTCTTCTTTGAAATGCATTTAGTTCATTCGTCAGTGTTCATTTCACCAGTTTATCTGTGTTTTATGGAGTTGTGCCAAGAAAGTGTCTTTTGTGAGGAGGCACTGATATCAAGTAGAATTTATGAGGGATTCGGTCGTATACTGTATGTGTTGCAGTCATGGTTGAGTTTTGGAGAAAACGAGGGAGAATTGGAGGCTAAAGAGAGTGCCGAAAATGATGAGGAGTTGGGACACGATGAGGACGATCCGCAGATGCCTTCCGCTTCTGGCTCGACGCGCTTAGACAATGCAGGATCCTCATCCTCTGCCTGATGCGTCACTTTTTTCGTTCAGTTAGTTTTATCATCAGCATGTTCAATTCGCACTGTGATAGCGCCGCGGCTTATCGTGTTTCATGGTGTAATGCTTAGTTTCTACCATTATTTGTTTGTTTTTGTTAAATTGAGCATTTATGTGAACTGAATTCAGAAATGTGCTGTAGGCGCTAAGTCTTACTATATTGGTTTATCCAAATTGGAGTGTATATTGATGACAGTTGTACTCACCTCTCAGTGTGTCGTGTGGATGTGTATGGCATATATAGATATGGTTGTGCGTGCATGCGTGTGTGCACGTGTGTGCGTAGATGTATGTGTATGTTCGAAAAAGCCGTCTCCTTGGCACTTCTTCCTCTGTTTAATCATTGATATGTTTTATGTGACAGAGTCACATGGTTCCATTTCATAGGGCTTACTTCGGGAGAGTGGTCGCCAGCTTACTTCTGAAATTTCTGGCAAAGCGGACCTGCTCAGGCTTTGCAGTGTTAAGTGATTACTGCCTGTGAAAATGGCAGTGCAGGCGGGCATTCACTTCGGTGGTTGAGGTGCTATTAAGCCTTTAGCTTTCTTGATTTTTACACAAAAATTACTTCTGAAATCACACTGGTGCATCTGTGAGTGTGATGCGACCCAGGCCGAATCCTGCTCTTTCGAAGCGTGGAGGCGTCGATCTCTAGTTCACACTTTGTATTTTTGCGTGCTGTTGGGACTGCGTGTCATTACTGGTGTGCTTGCTTATGTGATGTTTTCAGACTGGCAGCGTCGAGAGACTGATGAAGCGACCCATACGCCCAGTTCCTTTCGTTTCAGGATATGATTGAGCGATGCTTGTGTTTTTTTTTTTTCTTTTTTAGAGATTCTACACATTGTCAGTGCTGTGCATCCGTTCTTTATACTTTCTTACAGTATTAGTTGTGCTCTCTGTCAGCAGTGCTATGACACAGGCAGCTTGTGACTTATTGTCTTTCCTTCTCTCACTGACAACAATTGAAGCTTTCCCTGACTCACAGTCTGCTCAATCAGTAAAATGTGCGGACGGTAATTATGAATAAACGAGTGCACGTGATAATACTAGGAGAATTGGGGGAACCGGGGAAATTCCGTTTCTTAGTTTTTTTATTTGGATTTCTAAAGCCCAGCTTTAGCTTATCCTCTGCCCTTTTGTTTCCCTTTCCCCGTTCCCCTCCACCTCATGTGTGTGTGTGTTTTTTTAAACGGATATTGTTTCAAGTATTTCTTCGTTATTAAATGCTTTTCAAAACGTTTGAAAATTGCATATGAATGAACCGGACATATTGCTCCTATCGCATGCTTACAACAGCCAAGCAGTTTGAGCCGAATTTGAAAATATGATTTCTAAAGCATTGCGGTCCATCGGATCTCTGGAACCTCCTTCGTCCTTATCCTTTGGTTGTGACCCCCTGGGATGCTTTTGGCATTGCAGTTTTCAGTTCAGTAGGTTTCACCGTTTGACTGGAGGAACAGCTGAATCGGGACAGATAGACGGGGTCGTGGATTTGGGCAGAGGCCCTTGTTATGGATGCCAGGAACTGCAACGAATGTATGCTCTTATCCTACGCAGTATGCTCGAGATCGTACCTCGGTAGGAAATCCTACCTGGATACCTGACGGGCCGCTTGAACTATTGAACACTACGGATTTGTGAAAGGCAGTTCTGTTCGATAAAGTTTTCCGTCCAGGAGCTGAGACCTTCGATGCATGCAAATGTTGCCTGCAGAAATCTGATTTCCTTGTGAATATCTGTACGATTCTTGGCTGCGGTTCCGAAGGATTTGGTGGCCAGTCGTGTCGGACATTACTTCTGCACTGTAGATCGGGGATCACAGAGGTGCCATTTTGTTGTTTTATGAATGTCCGTTTTTTAAAAACAGCCACTGCAGATTCTTTTATCAAACAGCCACTGCAGGCCTTTTGCCTTTTTGTTATTTTTGCCGGTCCTGCGGTTGTGTGCAAGTAATTCCTGTAGAGTCATACCCAAGAGCAGGGAAACTTTTAGAAGCCTCAGTCTGAGAAACAGTGACTTCTTTTTTTACGCAACTTTTTTTTTTTTTGCGGTAGCTTTCGGATTACAATAATATTTTACGGAGGACTCCTTTTTATGCGCTTTTGCATATATGCAAAGCAAAAACTCATATTGTGACGACCTTGGTGTGCGTGTGTGTGTCTGTCTGTCTCTCTGTTGGTCTGTCCGATTACTTTAACTCGGCAGCCGCGCGGACTTCGGCGCCAAAATCTCGCCAGCGGATTCCCGGCCAAGTGCCACCCCAGGACCACTGTACCAGCCCTCACGCACGTCTAGGCTCCGCGTATGCATGAAAGTTTTGGCGAGAAAACCGCTAACTCAGGAACCAGAAAAGCCAAGAACCTGAAATTGTGCGATTATATTCTCCGTCCGTATAGAACTCAAAAATTTCAAACTCAGCCCCTGGTGTGCGTGGTTTTCACGTGCAACCCCGTGAAAGTTTTTACCGGGGAAATCGCTAACTCGGGAAATTTTAAAGGGATGTTCCCAGTCCATGAACAACTAAAATATTTCAAATTCAGCTCGTGGTTCTCACGTACGACCCTGTGAAAGTTTTTGGCGAGAAAATTGCTAACGAGAGGACCAGAAAAAACTGAAAGCTGAAATTTCGAGGGAATGTTCCCTGACCAAGTAATATGTAGTTGAACAGTTAGCTAAACTTCGAGCATCAGAAGGCCATAAATTCTAGTTACGGGGACTCCAGGCGATCTTACAACAGCACGAAATATTGCAAAAACGCAAACTCGCACGAGCACGCCCGGTGCGCTTCGCCAATGATTTACTTCAGTGCTCTGATCAGCTGTTGTTTCGTCATTGGGGCTTTTCCCATCAGTGATGCGGCTGACAACTTCTCCGTTCTTTTTATGCGTTTTACGCTGTGTAACAGCAGCACAAAACACATTATCACAGGGTTGTCTGTGTGTGTGTCCGAGATTTTGTTTCGCAGTTTCAGCCCCGGAACCACAAAAGCTAGGCGGCTGAATTTTTAGTAGAGTGTTCCCCGCCAACATGTGATCCTGCAAATTTAAATTTAGCCTCCCCATGCTCGCGGGTACCATGTACGACCCCGTGGAATTTTTGGCGGAGAAAATTATTATCTCGGCAACTACGACGGCTAGGCAACCCAAATTTTGTGGGTCTGTCCCCTGCCTACGTGCGATCCGGATTTCGCGGGCAGTACGCGCGACGCCGTAAGATTTTGACGGAGAAATTATTGTCTCGGGAACCATGGAAGCTAGGAAGCTGAAATTTTACAAGAATGTTTCCTTCCCACGTGCAGCCCCGTCATAAGCAGATCCAGGGAGGACTCGTGGCAGGAGAAAGGGAGGGTGGACCGGGCGTTGGGAAGGGAGTGAGTTCCTGGGGGAGAGGAAGGGGGCGACGAGAAGCGAGAGGAGGGAGCCCTTCCCATTTTGAAACTACGCAAAAACTACGAGTAGAGTTGTAACAGTCCTGTTTAGAATTTAGTTTTACTGTGCGTTTCTGCATATATGCAAATTACAAAAACGCATACTGGGAAGGGGCTGTGTGTGTGTGTGTGTCTGTGTGTTCGCACTTTTTGTCGCCCACTTTCAACTCGAGAATCAGAAAAGCTAGAAGGCTGAAACTTTGAGAGTATGTGCCCATACCCGCGCGACCCTCCCGTTTTAATTTCATCGCCCGCTGACGTCTGGCGCCGCGTACGGACGGTTTAAAAAATATGCAAATTTTTTGCGGAAAAGCGATCTCGGGAACCACACGAGCTAAGGGGCTGAAACTTTGTATGGATATTCCCTGTGCATGTACTAGCTAAAGATTTCAAATCCAGCCTCCAGGTATGCAAGGTACTCACGTAAGGGCGTATGAAAATTTTAGGGGGAGAATTGCTAACTCGGGTACCAGGAAAGCTAGGAAGCTGAAATTTTGGGAGAATGTTCCCTATCCAAGTACAACTCAAATATTTCAAATTTAGCCCCAAGCTGTGCATGGTACTCACTTAAGGGCGTATGGAAGTTCCTGCAGGAAAATTACGAACTCGGCAACCAGAAGAGCTGGGAGGCTGAAATTTTAAGGGGATGTTTCCTGTCCACGTGCAATTTAAAGGTTTCAGATTCAGCTTTCCAGACACGTGGAGTACCCACGTACAGGTATGTGAAGGTTTTGGCGGGAGAACTACTAACTCGGCAACCAGAAAAGCTAGAAAACTGAAATTTTGGGGGAATGTTCCCTGTCCAAGTACAACTCAAATATTTCAAATTCAGCTCCAAGCTATGCGTGGTACTCACGTAAAGGCGTATGAAAATTTCTGAGGGAAAATTACTAACTCGGGAAACAGAACAGCTGGAAGGCTGAAATTTTGGAAGAACGTACCCTGTCCAAGTATTTCAAATTCAGCCTTGAGGTATGCGTGGTTCTTACGTACAGGCACTTAAGAGTCTTGGCGGAAAAATTTCTCACTGAACAACTAGGTTACTTTTAAAGAACGACTGTTAAATGAAAATTGTACATTT